GGTGGAGGGGTGAGGAGGAGGAGGGGAGGGGGGTATTTTTTCTTGTTTTGTTATTTGTCACTCCACTAAAAATGTACATGGGAATTACAAGCAAACTAGTCAATAGAAAACACCCTTTGGCCATATTTTGAGGAGTCCGCTACATAGTGCGCTACAAGTGTACACGCGACATATGAAACACCACTAAGCCCCCATGTACATTGTTTAGCCTACTACAGAAATCATTTTTTGTAACGTGTTGTTTTATACTTTTTTTTTTTTTGTTTTTTTTTTTTAAACATTTATCTTTTTTTTGTCGGTTTTTTTTTCCTGTGACAAAAACAAGTGTAGGGAAAGGCTTCTATCTCCATAATGTTCACTAAAAACTGTGAAAAGTATTAGACTGATGTTTGAATATCAAACAACAGGAACCCATTTAATATCTTATTCTGCTCTGAGGTTCTGCTTGTTAATGCCAGAGAGGAGCTGTTGGTGTCGGGGGGAGCCGGCCGGCCTCCGCCTGTCCGTCATTCATCGGTGGGTGGAGGAGGCCTTCTGTTTCGGGCCGGTGCCGCCGCCGCCGCCGCCGCCGCCGCCACCGCTGCTGCTGTCGTCGTCGCAAGGCAGCTCCGTGTCGTCCGAATCCAGACGTCCGTAGGCCGTTGCTCGGCAACCTGAGATGCTGCGCATTCGGGGCCTGATGTGGTGGTCGCTCTCGGCCTCGGGCTCCGGGGCCGGGTCTTCTGGCAGGGGGAAGCTGCGACTCTCCCACGGCGCCACCGTCTGGAAATGGAACAGAGCAGCAAGTTTAGGTGGAGGGCAGCAATCAGAGGAAGACGAGCCTCAGCAAACAAAAGAATCAGCTTTCTATGAGCCGACAGTCGATCACGCTGCCTGTTAATGACTGATCAGGGTTTGGTTTTGCAGCCCTGCCTCTGTGTCAGTAGCACGAGGGGTGATTTTCATTAACAGGTTCTGGTTAAAATAAATGGAATGTGCTACTTTGGCTCTGATGACGCCACCTCTGTCTCT